TAAAATACCCACTCTAGTTTTTCTTGTACTAAAATACCATTATCAACTGTAATGTATTTAGCGTATCCATCCTTAAATAATTGACAACTTAAAAAAAGAATTTCGATGTTTATAATTCTATTTATACATGATTGACATGAAATATTAGTCAAAAGCCAACACTTAAAGCAATGATCTAATCATCCAAGTATGCATTGATCCTTTCCCAAGTTCGTTTAACTTATCTCAAATATCCACCATTCCTAAAACTCCAACGTTTTTTTCCAAGGCAACTCTAATTTTTTTTCTTTACAATTGCTTTGTATTTTATATCATAATTATTAATTTTTTAGACACTTATACTTATTTTAGGTTTGTGATTTAGAAATTTTTTGACAATTATTAATTTATCAATTGTTCTTATTCTAAATTTATGTCTTAGAAGTTTTATGTTAATTTGTAAAGGGTTAATTTTTTTTATTGGATTTAGTTAATATTTATCTGGTTTGTGAGTTAATTTTCATATTTTGCTTTGGACTTTATCTTTTATTATTAAAAATATTTTGTTGTTAGTTATCGTCTATTAAACTTTGGTTTTAAATTTTTGATTTCAAGTTAATGTGCATTATTTGTTTTGATTTTTTTTTGGTCACTTGTTGTTTGATCTTTCGCCCCCCTCTTCTCCAAACCAAAATCCTACATTCATCATTGGTTATCTTTAGTGAGCTATAAAAAAATTTATTATTGCAGGGTTTGTGACAAAATAACAGAAGGAATGTCCTAGAAAGAGCTGGAAAATCAGAGAAGGAGCTGTCCTAAAAGCATGATTTGGAATGTGTATAGTGATGAATTCTTTAATGTAAATGTTGCCGAACTCATGAAGTTGAATTGGTTCTTTGTTTTTGGTGGATTGATTATTTAAAGTTTTGCCACTATTGTTGATTCTTTTTCTGGCTTAACACAAATCTTCGGTAATCAGCGTAGAACGAACGTTGTTTTATAACTCTTTGTATTTGGAAACTGCTGACATGTTCGCTTTTGGCTGAGCTGTAGTAGAAAGAATCTCCCTGAATGATGTGTACTTTATCTTAAGGGTAATTTACCAAATTGGTCCCTAACATTTACCAAAAACACTTTTTTAGTCCTTAACATATAAAATCAGCCAAAATGATCCTTCACATTTAAATTATGAGCCAATTTGGTCCTATTGCTCGTTTTTGCTCATTTCTCCGGCTAAAAATAGCACGCCCCCCTCACGTGGTCATATTTTTAAGGGCAAAATCGAAAAACACATTTCATTACCGGTTGAAGGTAAAAGGATAGGGGACCACCACCAAAATACACATTTCACCTTTGGCCCTCAAATTACAATTTGAAGAAACCCTAATTGAATCCCCAAATTAACAAGCATAACTTGGAAATGTACTGCCGATGATGATGACGACAAATCTGTAGGGTGTGATTGAGAAAAGATTGAAGGTTTGGCCAGAAAATCGTGAAGAAAATTAAGAGGGCATGTACACACACACACACACACACACACACAAACAAGATGCAATGACGATTCTGACCTTTCACAAAAAGCGGTAGCTGGAATCCATCGCCGTTCGGAAACCATCCCTGTGGAAGTAGAAAATCAGCTCCAGTCGCCAGCCTAGTAGAAGGGGGGTTGCAGAATCTGGAACAGGACTGGACATAAATCGTGACGGTGCTTGTTTTGTGAGGTAGGCGGCATGGAGTGGGAGGCAGAGCAGAAAGAATTGAAAGAAGCCGGAGCGGAGTTGCTGCCGGACGAGCGGGTTGGACTTCGGATACATGGATGGGAGATCGAGTCTTCCAAAGCTTCCATCCTCAAATCCCTCCGGCGCCAAGAGTAACTACCTCTCTCTATCTCTTCTTCCCCTTCCCCCAACCAACAAAAAATCAGATGCCTCACCCTTACCCCCCCTCCCCAAGTATTACAACTATTTTGTAAGTATCTGATTGCAGGTTTCCAAGAAGTCACAATGATGGGTTCCTTTCCACAAAGACATCACTCGTTTGGATCCATTTTACTCTTCAAAGGTCAGCTTCTTCTTTCCAATTTCTTGCTACTGTATTTTCCCTCTTCAATTTCATGGGTTAGTGAGGTGACTAGATGAAGGAAAGATGGCTTCTTTCGACCGGTAATGAAATGTGTTTTCCGATTTTGCCCTTAAAAATATGACCACGTGAGGGGGGCGTGCTATTTTTAGCCGGAGAAATGAGCAAAAATGAGCAATAGGACCAAATTGGCTCATAATTTAAATGTGAAGGATCCTTTTGGCTGATTTTATATGTTAAGGACTAAAAAAGTGTTTTTGGTAAATATTATGGACCAATTTGGCAAATTTTCCTTATCTTAATTGGTTACAGCAACCGAAGTTTATTCTGAAGTTATCACTGTTTCATGATAGGATGAGTGGACAAGGAGAACTAATTCTGGCTTCTGAATGAACCTAAAACGAGCACCGTGAACTAAATGCTGTTGGATTAGGGGTGCAAACGAGTTAAGTCGAGTCGAGTCAAGTTTTGGTCTAATTGAGTCGGGTCTCAACTTAGTGTTATAAAACTTGAACTCGACAAACTTAAAATGTAAAGTTTGTGCTCGAGTTTAAAAAACATATATATATATATATATATATATATATATATATATATATATATATATAATTATTTTATTTTTAAAAAATAAATAAAATAATAATTTTTAACAAATAATAAAATATTAGAAACATATATGTAATGTTATTATTAATCTATATATATGTATATAGATGTATGTGTGTAATCAAACTGACTCGTGAATTAACGAGCTGAATATGTGAGAATTCAAATTCGACTTGATCAGCTTGAATTTGATTAGAGTTGCTCACGAGGTTGGGGGGTGTTGGCATCCGCATCACTTGTAAAGTTTCGTATTCGACCTCGCGTACATCATTCACGTTTGTACGTCTTTGGTTGTGGACTAAAATGTTCAATATATTACTCTCATTATGAACTCGATCATGTGCATTGAAGTTCAATACTGAGTATATTTATCGTTGTAGAATATATGATTGTTGGTTTGAACAATTCTTAGTTTATCACCAAGGCTGTGAAATCACTGTTGAAAGGTTACGACTGGTGACTCGTAATCAGATGGTACTTTGTTAACTACGCAGTGCTTAATCAGTGGCTGCAGCATAGTAGCATATTTTTGTTCCTTTCTCCACCATACCAAATCAACGCCAAATGTCTAAATGGTGTTGTGGGTACATTGGTGAGACAATTTACTAAAAGATTGAACCAAGGCATTGAAAAGCTTTATCGGTTTAAGCAGGATGATGTTTCTTTTTTGTTTGTACTGACCCCTTCCTTCTGTTTAGTTTACAATATTACATGGATCTAATTGGGCTGCTGCTTCTGATATGATCCCAAAAGTACATACTTTCTAGGGTGGCAGATGAATATTTCTCGAGTTGGAGTTGAAGCTTATCACTCAATGTGTAGCTACTCTGCTTATGATCCTTCATTCCTATCTCTCTCTGTTTCTTTCTTTTGAAGCGGTACCTCCAACGGACTAACAAATGAGGTGAATTCCCATTTAGTCTTTTTCCAATTTGATTGTGGTCATAGTTTATTGTCCCTCTTTTCCAACAATTCATTCAGATATATTCCGATGAAAGGGTTCCAGCATTCAATCAGTAAAGATGAAGGCCCCATCAACAACACTGATTAAGAAAATTCAGGCGAAAATGCAAAGCAACTTTGATGGCAAAAGCAAATCACCTGCGCTTCTGAACACGGATTGAGGGCTTTTATAGTCCATCACACGATTCTTGTTATTTTTTGTTAATATTAGAAGTAAACATGCATCTACGTGAACTATCTCACTGATTATGCTGATTGAACACCTTCAATGCAACAAATGTACAATTTAAGCACGACTTTGTGCTGTCATCAATATGTAAATAAAGGTCACATTGTGGTTAATATTTTCCTTAATTTGTCTCATGCAACTATGCCTAATAAAATTCACTTTGGAAAAGCATTAATGAGAAAAAGGGAAAGACCCCAGCAGCAAGCCAAGCACCTTTATTCCTTTGGAACCTAAAGCATCCAACTATGCCAACGAAGCACTGCTCTACACGAATTGACGGCTCATTATTTCTTGTAACCCATAAATATCTCACTGGTTAGTGTGAATACAGCAAATTACATTTGTATGTACAAAATAAGCATGAATTTGTGCTGTAATCAATATGCAAATGAGAGTCACATTATGGTTAATTAATCTTGGCCATAAATTATCTCGAGCCACAAAAGTTACCCCTTATCAAATTTCATAAGTGAAACAGTTTGACAAAAACAAGGGATATGTAACTGTGGATGTCCTTTTGATGTGAAGATTGAAGCAAATGCATCTTTCAAGTTACTAATCCCCAGACTTCATTGATAAAAAAGAAAAAAATTTTAAGAAGGAAAGAAAATTGGATTGTAGGTCTTAAATGCGACTTCAATTCCCCATGAAAGTGGATACAGAATCCTTGGTTTTATAAAGTTTAAAAGGAGCAAGTCTGAAGATTTTACAATAGAAGCAAATATCTGATGATTATTTCTTTCAGAAAATACACGTTCAAGTAATTTGAGATCACAAGTTTGGTTATTGAGACACAAAGCTATAAACCATCCACTTATGTCTTTATTCTTAACCAGCCAAGAAGCAAAGTAGCTCGTCCAAAAAGAAGATTCCCTGTTTGTTTGTAACACAGGTTTCTTTACCTAATAGGATTATTACTACAGTTTAGTTTAATTTTCAATGCTTGAGGCTCGCACTATAGAATTAGCAGTAGCTCTAGAAGTCTTACCTTAGAAGCACTTCAAATTCTTTTCTTCTCCAAACATTTCTGCTTTTAGCTGCTGAAGCTGAAGAATTCCTTCTTATCTCATTCCAAAATCCATCCTGATCACCACCTTAATTGATTCTTTTCTTCTAATTTCAATTCCAAGCAAGAAAAAAAATGGCCGATGCAGCTATTAGCGCTACTATTCAGGTTGCATTGGAGACGGTTATTTCCCTTGCCGCTGATCGTGTTAGTTTGGTTCTTGGATTCGGAGAGGAGTTGGAGAGACTACGCCACACTGCAGAAACCATCCGAGGTATCCTGGCTGATGCGGACAGGAAAATGCATATTGCCGGGGTGAAAAATTGGCTCGAGCAGCTTGAAGGAGAGCTTTTTAAAGCGGAGGATGTGCTGGACGAGCTCAACTATGAAAATCTTCGTCGGGAGGTGAAGTACAGAAATCAACTCAAGAAAAAGGTATGCTTCTTCTTCTCGTACTTTAATACAATTGGTTCTCGTTCAAGGTTGGCTTCAAAGATCAGGGACATCAACATGAACCTAGAAAGGATCAATCGGCAAGCAAATGATGTGGGACTGGTCTTCCGGTTCCAAATTGAAGCCGCACTCCCTGCTGCTACTGGTGCCACAACAAGCAGACAAACCGACTCTATTCTCGTTCCAAATGTTGTAGGAAGAGTCGACGATGAATCAAAGATTGTGGACATGTTATTGAGGCCATCTGAAAAGGTTCTTTCTGTTATTCCCATAACAGGCTCAGGAGGTTTGGGAAAAACAACTCTGGCGAAATCAATCTACAATAATCCAAAAATAGATGGGCACTTTGGCCAAAAAATTTGGGTTTGTGTGGCTAAAGAACAAATTAAGATAATGGAGCTGTTCAAGCTCATTTTAGTACAATTGACAGGAGAAGAAGTTAAAGTGGATGACAGGAATGTTATCGTTAAAAATATTGGAGAAAAGCTCAAGGGACAAAGATATTTCCTTGTTCTTGATGATGTGTGCTACCGTTCTTTGTCATTTCTTTTCCTTTTTGGTGTCTTCAATTCAATTTTTTCCCGTCTCGACCCTCACTCAAAATGAAAGTAAGAATGTGTGAGATTTTTGTGCGAGAGTTAAGAATATAATAAAAGTCGATAGTGTGAGATCTTTTTTTAATATTGCAAAATATAACAAACAAGATTACTCTTCAAAAAGTTTCTTTTGTTATTTTTGTTTATTTCTTAAAAGCTATCCAAAGGAATGTTTTGGTTCTGTTTCTTTTTTTTTCATATAATTAAATTCCAAAACCCATCAACAAATAATTTTTCCCTATAATCGGGTTCCATTCAATAGGAATTTTACAACAAGTACGTCATGAGTAAAAGTTTAAATGGTATAACTTATATGGGCCCAAAAACCATAATCTAGTGGTTAGCGGATACCGGACCTAGCCTCATACTTCATTTCGTATGCTGGACCGCAAATTTACCTTACCTTCAACAATGGATCCCCCATGGGGTGGGGTATGGGAAGTATGGAGCCCACAAGATTTCCCAAAAACTTGACATGCAGTATGAGACGGGCTATATCACTTTCCCTGATAATTAATTATAAGGTAAAAAACAAAAAAGTCCCCTGTGATAAACTTAATACACAGAAAAGTTTCCCATGGTTTCCAAATATACAACACGACCTCATGCTTTGAACTAAATTGTAAAGGTGACGGAATCCGTTAAACTTAACGGAAATGAACAAAATGACCAAAATGCCCTGATATAATAAAGCAAAAGACAACTCAAAAAAATCATTTGTTTTATTCTCTAAATAGAGAGAATTGAGGATTAAGGGGTAGAATAGGTATATTTGATAAAAATTAGGTATAAAATTTTTTTTTAGGTTCCAATAAGTCATTTCCGTTAAATTTAACGAATTCCGTCACCTTTACAATTCAGTTCAAAGCATGAGGTGTCGTGTTGTATATTTTGAAATCATAAGAGGTTTTTTTGTGTATTAGGCTTATCACAGGGGGTTTTTTTGTTTTTTACCCTTAATTATATTGAAGTACAGAATTGGTTAAAGATCAAGAGGTGATAATTATATTGAAGTGCATACTTACTTGAAGATCGTGAGGTGTTTTAGATAAAAAAAAAAAATAGAAGACTTAACACTTTTTCCCCTCAACAATTTTTTTTTCCGTTAGTTTATCTCCTTTAATTTCTCTTTCATAACATGTCTTAAAATACCCACTCTAGTTTTTCTTGTACTAAAATACCATTATCAACTGTAATGTATTTAGCGTATCCATCCTTAAATAATTGACAACTTAAAAAAAGAATTTCGATGTTTATAATTCTATTTATACATGATTGACATGAAATATTAGTCAAAAGCCAACACTTAAAGCAATGATCTAATCATCCAAGTATGCATTGATCCTTTCCCAAGTTCGTTTAACTTATCTCAAATATCCACCATTCCTAAAACTCCAACGTTTTTTTCCAAGGCAACTCTAATTTTTTTTCTTTACAATTGCTTTGTATTTTATATCATAATTATTAATTTTTTAGACACTTATACTTATTTTAGGTTTGTGATTTAGAAATTTTTTGACAATTATTAATTTATCAATTGTTCTTATTCTAAATTTATGTCTTAGAAGTTTTATGTTAATTTGTAAAGGGTTAATTTTTTTTATTGGATTTAGTTAATATTTATCTGGTTTGTGAGTTAATTTTCATATTTTGCTTTGGACTTTATCTTTTACTATTAAAAATATTTTGTTGTTAGTTATCGTCTATTAAACTTTGGTTTTAAATTTTTGATTTCAAGTTAATGTGCATTATTTGTTTTGATTTTTTTTTGGTCACTTGTTGTTTGATCTTTCGCCCCCCTCTTCTCCAAACCAAAATCCTACATTCATCATTGGTTATCTTTAGTGAGCTATAAAAAAATTTATTATTGCAGGGTTTGTGACAAAATAACAGAAGGAATGTCCTAGAAAGAGCTGGAAAATCAGAGAAGGAGCTGTCCTAAAAGCATGATTTGGAATGTGTATAGTGATGAATTCTTTAATGTAAATGTTGCCGAACTCATGAAGTTGAATTGGTTCTTTGTTTTTGGTGGATTGATTATTTAAAGTTTTGCCACTATTGTTGATTCTTTTTCTGGCTTAACACAAATCTTCGGTAATCAGCGTAGAACGAACGTTGTTTTATAACTCTTTGTATTTGGAAACTGCTGACATGTTCGCTTTTGGCTGAGCTGTAGTAGAAAGAATCTCCCTGAATGATGTGTACTTTATCTTAAGGGTAATTTACCAAATTGGTCCCTAACATTTACCAAAAACACTTTTTTAGTCCTTAACATATAAAATCAGCCAAAATGATCATTCACATTTAAATTATGAGCCAATTTGGTCCTATTGCTCGTTTTTGCTCATTTCTCCGGCTAAAAATAGCACGCCCCCCTCACGTGGTCATATTTTTAAGGGCAAAATCGAAAAACACATTTCATTACCGGTTGAAGGTAAAAGGATAGGGGACCACCACCAAAATACACATTTCACCTTTGGCCCTCAAATTACAATTTGAAGAAACCCTAATTGAATCCCCAAATTAACAAGCATAACTTGGAAATGTACTGCCGATGATGATGACGACAAATCTGTAGGGTGTGATTGAGAAAAGATTGAAGGTTTGGCCAGAAAATCGTGAAGAAAATTAAGAGGGCATGTACACACACACACACACACACACACACAAACAAGATGCAATGACGATTCTGACCTTTCACAAAAAGCGGTAGCTGGAATCCATCGCCGTTCGGAAACCATCCCTGTGGAAGTAGAAAACCAGCTCCAGTCGCCAGCCTAGTAGAAGGGGGGTTGCAGAATCTGGAACAGGACTGGACATAAATCGTGACGGTGCTTGTTTTGTGAGGTAGGCGGCATGGAGTGGGAGGCAGAGCAGAAAGAATTGAAAGAAGCCGGAGCGGAGTTGCTGCCGGACGAGCGGGTTGGACTTCGGATACATGGATGGGAGATCGAGTCTTCCAAAGCTTCCATCCTCAAATCCCTCCGGCGCCAAGAGTAACTACCTCTCTCTATCTCTTCTTCCCCTTCCCCCAACCAACAAAAAATCAGATGCCTCACCCTTACCCCCCCTCCCCAAGTATTACAACTATTTTGTAAGTATCTGATTGCAGGTTTCCAAGAAGTCACAATGATGGGTTCCTTTCCACAAAGACATCACTCGTTTGGATCCATTTTACTCTTCAAAGGTCAGCTTCTTCTTTCCAATTTCTTGCTACTGTATTTTCCCTCTTCAATTTCATGGGTTAGTGAGGTGACTAGATGAAGGAAAGATGGCTTCTTTCGACCGGTAATGAAATGTGTTTTCCGATTTTGCCCTTAAAAATATGACCACGTGAGGGGGGCGTGCTATTTTTAGCCGGAGAAATGAGCAAAAATGAGCAATAGGACCAAATTGGCTCATAATTTAAATGTGAAGGATCCTTTTGGCTGATTTTATATGTTAAGGACTAAAAAAGTGTTTTTGGTAAATATTATGGACCAATTTGGCAAATTTTCCTTATCTTAATTGGTTACAGCAACCGAAGTTTATTCTGAAGTTATCACTGTTTCATGATAGGATGAGTGGACAAGGAGAACTAATTCTGGCTTCTGAATGAACCTAAAACGAGCACCGTGAACTAAATGCTGTTGGATTAGGGGTGCAAACGAGTTAAGTCGAGTCGAGTCAAGTTTTGGTCTAATTGAGTCGGGTCTCAACTTAGTGTTATAAAACTTGAACTCGACAAACTTAAAATGTAAAGTTTGTGCTCGAGTTTAAAAAACATATATATATATATATATAATTTATTTTATTTAAAAATAAAAAAATAATAATTTTTAACAAATAATAAAATATTAGAAACATATATGTAATGTTATTATTAATCTATATATATGTATATAGATGTATGTGTGTAATCAAACTGACTCGTGAATTAACGAGCTGAATATGTGAGAATTCAAATTCGACTTGATCAGCTTGAATTTGATTAGAGTTGCTCACGAGGTTGGGGGTGTTGGCATCCGCATCACTTGTAAAGTTTCGCATTCGACCTCGCGTACATCATTCACGTTTGTACGTCTTTGGTTGTGGACTAAAATGTTCAATATATTACTCTCATTATGAACTCGATCATGTGCATTGAAGTTCAATACTGAGTATATTTATCGTTGTAGAATATATGATTGTTGGTTTGAACAATTCTTAGTTTATCACCAAGGCTGTGAAATCACTGTTGAAAGGTTACGACTGGTGACTCGTAATCAGATGGTACTTTGTTAACTACGCAGTGCTTAATCAGTGGCTGCAGCATAGTAGCATATTTTTGTTCCTTTCTCCACCATACCAAATCAACGCCAATGTCTAAATGGTGTTGGTACATTGGTGAGACAATTTACTAAAAGATTGAACCAAGGCATTGAAAAGCTTTATCGTTTAAGCAGGATGATGTTTCTTTTTTGTTTGTACTGACCCCTTCCTTCTGTTTAGTTTACAATATTACATGGATCTAATTGGGCTGCTGCTTCTGATATGATCCCAAAAGTACATACTTTCTAGGGTGGCAGATGAATATTTCTCGAGTTGGAGTTGAAGCTTATCACTCAATGTGTAGCTACTCTGCTTATGATCCTTCATTCCTATCTCTCTCTGTTCTTTCTTTTGAAGCGGTACCTCCAACGGACTAACAAATGAGGTGAATTCCCATTTAGTCTTTTTCCAATTTGATTGTGGTCATAGTTTATTGTCCCTCTTTCCAACAATTCATTCAGATATATTCCGATGAAAGGGTTCCAGCATTCAATCAGTAAAGATGAAGGCCCCATCAACAACACTGATTAAGAAAATTCAGGCGAAAATGCAAAGCAACTTTGATGGCAAAAGCAAATCACCTGCGCTTCTGAACACGGATTGAGGGCTTTTATAGTCCATCACACGATTCTTGTTATTTTTTGTTAATATTAGAAGTAAACATGCATCTTACGTGAACTATCTCACTGATTATGCTGATTGTACACCTTCAATGCAACAAATGTACAATTTAAGCACGACTTTGTGCTGTCATCAATATGTAAATAAAGGTCACATTGTGGTTAATATTTTCCTTAATTTGTCTCATGCAACTATGCCTAATAAAATTCACTTTGGAAAAGCATTAATGAGAAAAAGGGGAAGACCCCAGCAGCAAGCCAAGCACCTTTATTCCTTTGGAACCTAAAGCATCCAACTATGCAACGAAGCACTGCTCTACACGAATTGACGGCTCATTATTTCTTGTAACCCATAAATATCTCACTGGTTAGTGTGAATGCAGCAAATTACATTTGTATGTACAAAATAAGCATGAATTTGTGCTGTAATCAATATGCAAATGAGAGTCACATTATGGTTAATTAATCTTGGCCATAAAATTATCTCGAGCCACAAAAGTTACCCCTTATCAAATTTCATAAGTGAAACAGTTTGACAAAAACAAGGGATATGTAACTGTGGATGTCCTTTTGATGTGAAGATTGAAGCAAATGCATCTTTCAAGTTACTAATCCCCAGACTTCATTGATAAAAAAGAAAAAAATTTTAAGAAGGAAAGAAAATTGGATTGTAGGTCTTAAATGCGACTTCAATTCCCCATGAAAGTGGATACAGAATCCTTGGTTTTATAAAGTTTAAAAGGAGCAAGTCTGAAGATTTTACAATAGAAGCAAATATCTGATGATTTTTTTCAGAAAATACACGTTCAAGTAATTTGAGATCACAAGTTTGTTATTGAGACACAAAGCTATAAACATCATCCACTTATGTCTTTATTCTTAACCAGCCAAGAAGCAAAGTAGCTCGTCCAAAAAGAAGATTCCCTGTTTGTTTGTAACACAGGTTTCTTTACCTAATAGGATTATTACTACAGTTTAGTTTAATTTTCAATGCTTGAGGCTCGCACTATAGAATTAGCAGTAGCTCTAGAAGTCTTACCTTAGAAGCACTTCAAATTCTTTTCTTCTCCAAACATTTCTGCTTTTAGCTGCTGAAGCTGAAGAATTCCTTCTTATCTCATTCCAAAATCCATCCTGATCACCACCTTAATTGATTCTTTTCTTCTAATTTCAATTCCAAGCAAGAAAAAAAATGGCCGATGCAGCTATTAGCGCTACTATTCAGGTTGCATTGGAGACGGTTATTTCCCTTGCCGCTGATCGTGTTAGTTTGGTTCTTGGATTCGGAGAGGAGTTGGAGAGACTACGCCACACTGCAGAAACCATCCGAGGTATCCTGGCTGATGCGGACAGGAAAATGCATATTGCCGGGGTGAAAAATTGGCTCGAGCAGCTTGAAGGAGAGCTTTTTAAAGCGGAGGATGTGCTGGACGAGCTCAACTATGAAAATCTTCGTCGGGAGGTGAAGTACAGAAATCAACTCAAGAAAAAGGTATGCTTCTTCTTCTCGTACTTTAATACAATTGGTTCTCGTTCAAGGTTGGCTTCAAAGATCAGGGACATCAACATGAACCTAGAAAGGATCAATCGGCAAGCAAATGATGTGGGACTGGTCTTCCGGTTCCAAATTGAAGCCGCACTCCCTGCTGCTACTGGTGCCACAACAAGCAGACAAACCGACTCTATTCTCGTTCCAAATGTTGTAGGAAGAGTCGACGATGAATCAAAGATTGTGGACATGTTATTGAGGCCATCTGAAAAGGTTCTTTCTGTTATTCCCATAACAGGCTCAGGAGGTTTGGGAAAAACAACTCTGGCGAAATCAATCTACAATAATCCAAAAATAGATGGGCACTTTGGCCAAAAAATTTGGGTTTGTGTGGCTAAAGAACAAATTAAGATAATGGAGCTGTTCAAGCTCATTTTAGTACAATTGACAGGAGAAGAAGTTAAAGTGGATGACAGGAATGTTATCGTTAAAAATATTGGAGAAAAGCTCAAGGGACAAAGATATTTCCTTGTTCTTGATGATGTGTGGGATCATGATCAAGGATTGTGGAATGATTATTTCAACACTTTGATGGGACTCAACGAAACCAAAGGAAGCTGGTGTCTTCTCACTACTCGGTCGAAACCAGTGGCTGATGTTGTATCTACACATTTGAAGATGAATAGCGGTCCTTATTTCTTAGGAAAGCTATCACGTGATGAGTGCTGGTCCATCATAAAAGGAAAGGTGATGAGTGCAGGGGAAGAAGTACCAGAAGAATTGGAAGCATTGAAGAAGCAAATTTTAGGGAGATGCGATGGCCTACCCTTGGCAGCAAGTTTGATTGGTGGCTTGTTGCTTAACAACAGAAGAGAGAAGTGGCACTCCATTGTGCAAGAGAGTCTTTTGAATGAATGTCAAAGCGAGATTGAGCAAATACTTAAGGTGAGCTTTGATCATTTGTCACCTGCATCAGTTAAAATATGTTTTGCATATTGTTCAATTTTCCCCAGGATACAGAATTGGAACAAGATCTATTGATTGAGCTTTGGATGGCGGAAGGTTTTGTTCAACCATATCGCCAAAACCAAAGGCTGATGGAGGAAATAGGGGGTGATTATTTTATGATTTTGTTACAAAATTCCTTATTGGAAAAAGTAGAAGAATCGTGGCGGGGAACATATTATTATAAAATGCACGATCTCGTGCATGATTTTGCAAAATCAATTCTCAATCCAGAAAGCAGCAATCAGAATCGCTACCTTGCATTGGGCTCTTTTGAAGGTTTGGCAGAAAATACCACAAGGACAATACCAGCATCAATTCGCACATTATTTCTCCATCTAGAGGGTGGCGTATCTACTGACATGCTTTTAAGATTCAAGTGCTTGCATGTTCTCAGATTGTCTGGCGATGATGTCGAGTCTCTACCGAGCTCCATTGGCAAACTACTACATTTGCGGTTGCTCGACATTTCATCTTCTGGAATCAGAAGTTTGCCAGAATCTCTTTGCAAGCTATATAATTTGCAGACACTAACGATTAATGATTATGCACTTGAAGGAAGTTTTCCAAAACGGATGAGCGATTTGATTAGCTTGCGACATCTAAACTACAATCATTATAATGTAGAATTAAAAATGCCGGTGCAGATGGGACTATTGACTTGTCTTCAAACTCTGAAGTTTTTTAATGTAAGTCAAAAAAGGGGATGTGGTATCGAAGAGCTTGGGACCTTGAAATATCTGAAAGGATCGTTGAGTATAAGAAATCTTGGACTAGTGAAGGGCAAAGAAGCAGCTAAACAAGCAAAATTGTTCGAAAAGCCAGATCTGTCCGACTTGGTGTTTAAATGGGAGAGTGGGGATCGGGAAAGCGATAATCGTGAGGAGGATGTGTTGGAAGGTCTCCAACCTCACCCAAATTTGCAAGGGTTGGAAATTCATTCTTTTATGGGTAATAAATTTCCACAATGGCTTATCAATTTGTCAAAATTGGAGACATTGCGGATAGAAGACTGCGAGAGATGCAGTGAACTCCCTCATTAGGACAACTACCATCCCTCAAACGTCTCTCTTTGATAAGATTGGACAACATTCGATTTATTGGAGATGAATTCTACGGTATTACTGCTAATGGGGAGGAGGAGGAGGAGGGCAGATCACGAGCATCAGGAAGCAGCGCTAGAAGGCGAAAATTCTTTCCTGCCCTTGAACAACTCTATGTACGAGATATGAAGGAATTTGGTAGACTGGAAAGGTGCAGACCAAGTGAGGTCAACAGTAGGTGAAGCAGAAGCAGATGTCTTTCCCCTGCTGAGGAATTTTTACATTCAAGATTGCCCACAACTGACCACTCTTCCATGCTCGTCTAAAAGTCTACACGTGGAGAATTGCAATAATCTAACAAGTATAAAAACGGGTTACGGCACTGCTTCTGTTGAGGATTTGAGGATCGACTCTTGCGACAATCTTAGGGAGCTGCCAGATCTGGATCTGTTTGGATCGAGTTTGCAGCGATTGACCATCTCATTTTGCCCAAGATTAATTAGTCTAGGAGTAAATGGACAGAAATGCCCCCTACCATGCCTTGAGCGATTGAGTATTTGGAGTTGCAATGGGTTGACCACTATATCCGACAAAATGTTCCAGTCATGCCGGTCTCTGCGGTCTCTGCAGGCAGAGAGGGTGAACAAAAAAGCATTCATGGTGCTCAAACATCAGCTTCATGGTGTTTCCCATCGTTGTTGAAGAAGAAGAAGAGGTCAGGAGGTATGTTGTGCAGAAAAGTGATAATGCAGCATTTCTCTCCCAAGAACTCTTTTCTTACCTCCATCCAATTTACTAAAAGTACAAGGAATTGGTGCAGGTTTGCATTCTAGTGTGCTTGAGTCATGTAATTGGCCTAAAAACAGGGCATTTTCCTGTACTTTTATCTGTTTGTGAACTTTTACCTATGCCTACAGCTTATCTTTTGCTCTTTAAGTTTTGTATATTTGCTTGGTGCTAAACTTGTCTTTTGATTGTGAAAGAATGTGGTCTTTTCCGATTTCTTGCACTACTTACTAGACCATAACTTTTCTTTGCTTTCATTGTTCATTATAATTGGAGGCATACTGAAATGTACCATTGTGATGCTTTCCAGAGTCTTAGGAGACATAGCTTATGTTATTGGACAAAGGACGCCATCGTTTACACACCAATTGTCACACGATATTGCATAAAGAAACTTCTTGAATTCTGGTAGGCTTAATTGGTTTAAGTAGGATGATGTTTCTGTTATGTTTGTACTGACCCCTTCTATTTAGTTTACATAGATCTAATTGGGCTGCTGCTTCTGATATGATCCCAAAAGTACATACCTTTAGTTTTTTAAGCTGCAGTATCGGTTTTTCTCAATGCACTGCCATCACTAGTTTGTTATATTGTTGGTTTCTGGTTGGCAGATGAATTTTTATTGAGTTGAAGTTTCATTTCTTAGCATTTATTAATTCTAATTTGAATTTGCTTTTCATTTAGGCCATGTCCTCGCTTAAAGGTAGGGATAATACATTAGAGAAGATTTGAGGAGGCTTTCAGATGATTCCTCTGTTCCAGCTGTAAGACTGTTTGTTGCCATAAATTCAACTCTCTAGTTCTGGCTTTTATGAATCAAACGAACTGAACTCTAGCATTTTGATTGTTTTGCAGGATCCCGACCTAACCTGAAAAATGCAACAGACACGAAAGAGGCACAAATCCCTCCGGAGCTTATCACTCGATGTGTAGCTACTCTGCTCATGATTCAGCTGCTTTTTGGGTGTACATCTCTAAGATCCTTTATTCCCATCTTGTCTCTTTCTTTGCTTCATAGAGGGCCCACTTGTGATGATGTTTATATTAGAAGTTTGATCACTTGGACGATTCCCTTCCCCTTTTCCTGTTAAAACTACAAGCTGTGCATATTTTGGTTTATATTTTCCTTATGGCTTATTATCAGTTCAAAGTACTGAATCTCAGTTTCAATAAAGTGGATATTTATGGCTATTAAATTGTAGCCATAATGAAGTTACTGACTCAATCTAGCAACTATTCGTATAATGGGATCACTCCCTTGTTTTGCTTTTTTCAATGAATTAAGGAGGAGTTGAAACTAATCTCAAACTTCGTTTAACTGATAATGAAGCTCACCCTTCACTTGCTTGCTGCTGTTAGGTTTGCATCATATTTTTGAAATATTTTCTTTGTCAACTCCATTTATTGGTTAGAAAGTTCTTTCCGCAGTTGTAGGAATGACACGACTAGAATATCAGTTCTCTATTCGAGAATTGAACATCTGTGCGTACAATGTTTTAAATGCTCTTCATTCTACAATTTGTTGTTTTGTTTTCTTGTGATGTACACAGTTCGACCTTTTTGCGAATGTATACTTATTGGCTTAATATTGCAGTCATTTATTGCAAAAATGTACAGAGAGGCAGTTTCCACTAGCTGATGTGGCGCAAATATTGGATTCTGCAATTACAAGCTTGAAGCCTTGCTGCCCACAAAACCTTCCAGTTTATACTGAAATACAGAAGTGCATGGGAATTGTCAGGAACCAAATATTGGCGCTTATACCTACTTAGCCAATAAAACTTGGACGTATTTTTTTTCATATCTGCAATGTAGTAATTGATTTGATTGCCATCTTAGCTTCTAAGGCTACCATGACAAAGTTTTCTGTTTGTACCCACCAACATCAATGCAATGAATTATCACTTCCATTATACTTCGAATAAGGCCATCTATGTTCAAATCCATGATAGATTTGCCTCTTACTTCCTGTTGTTAAGTAGATTACCTAGCCATTAGTTCTCCTATGGTGATAGACACGAACAAGTTGTTGGGCCCTTTCCAATTATCAAAGCTTTTGCGGCTGTTGAATGGATTGTGCAGGATCCTTTTGGAATCACAGTTTTGGAGCAGGCAAAGGGAGTTTTTGCTTCTGCACTTACCTAACCAGAGGTTTATAATTTTCGAATGCACTTGGAAGCCAGAGATTGTTGTCTCGGCCTGAATTTGCACACATTGCTAGCAGCAGTAGATGTTCACTCAATATTCAAAATATTGTGTATTGATCTAAGAGCTTTAGTTGTTTTACGCCTTTTAAACAAGATAGAATTTTTGTTATTGTTGCTCACTGCCTGCCAGGCTACAAAGACCCGGAAAACATGGGATTTCTTGATAATGGAAGTATTTCCCAGTTCAGGAAAAAAGAAAAATGAAAAAGACATTAATTGAAGGGCAAACTATTTTTAGTACAAGGTTGGCGTGAAAAAAGTAGAGATTGAAATACCTCTCCTTTTAACCAAGAAGAGTTGGCCATTAGGTGAAACATAAGATGCAGGCGACTAGAGGTGAGAAGTTTTAACATTGAAAAAAAAAATGGTCTACTTTTATTTACAAATATGACTAAAGAAAGAGAAAATTTTTGGTTCAATCCCTCACGTTTAGGGAGAGTTTTTTTTTTTGGGTCCCTCATTTTTGAAAGGTATAATTACAAAAACACCCCTGAGGTTTGTGACACATCACATGGTATCCCTAAATATTGAAAAATACCACCTACATCCCTTATTTTCAACTTCTTCCAACTTTGTCAACCTATTCCGACAAATATGATTTAAAAACTCATTTTGGAAGAGATAAGACATTTTCATTCCAAAATTACCCTTTCTTGTGGAGCTTTAGCTTTCATAACAAACCAAATTAATTTCTTAATAATGAAATTAAAAGACTTTTTATAGTTTTCGATATCATCTATCTAAACAAAAAAAGGAGAAAAAATTAGAAACTCTAAATGATTTAGAAGACTCATATGAGTCATCCAAAAATTGTTACAGTTAAAAAAAAAAGACTTTTTGCACCTCAAATAAATTTCTAAATATATGGTTAGTAATTTTATCTTTTTCTTGTTTTCAAGCCATCAATTTGGACAAAAGGTTCAAACATTCAAAATATTCTAAACAATTTGTAGAATCCTTAAATTCATCCAAAACACTTTGCAACAAACAAAATAACTTTTCTTTGAAAATGCCTTAACTGAGTTTGTAAACTTAATTTTAGACATTGTGTCCATTTTTTATTTTCAAATCATTGACCTATACACAAAATTTCAAAAATTCCAAAGATTCTTAAAATTAATAAAACTCCTCCAATTAACGAAAACCCTTACAATAAATGAAATATTTTTTCAGCTTGAACAACCTCAAACATAATCTTTTGTACCTTAAAAACATTTGCTAGTATATTTTATCTCACCAAAATTACACCTGCACACTATTTTTTTTTTTATTTTCAAGCTTTTAGTACTATAGTTTCACTTTTGAAAAACTAGTTGGACAACACAAGGGCAATTTTGGCATGATAACATCTTCGTTCTCAAAAATGAGTTTAATAATATATTTTGAAATAGACTGATAAAGTAGTTGAAAATAAAGGAGATAGGTGATATTTGTCAAAGTAAAGTGTTCCATGTAACATTGTCATTACCTTATGAGAGGTTTCCGAAAGTACCCTTTTAAAATGAAGCAAATTAGTTTCTCACCTTCTAAAAATAAAGCAAACTATTCCCAAAATGACAACCTGATATATATATATATATATATATATATATATATATATATATATATGTATATTATAGGAACAAAATTAGACCGTCACTTTAGTTTTTGTGGAATCTAGGTACATGTCATATGCGCATGACATTAGGTTGACATAAAAAGGAAAACAATTTAAAAATTATAACATATAAACAAATCGTTCTCTCTAATATTTTTTTTTTTTTTTGAGAAAATGATATTCGGCCAACATAAAAAGGACAGTGTATATGTGTGTAGAACTTGTATTTACAATATTGAAATTACAGTTAACTTGAGAGTTTTGGTTTTTTTATTTTCTTTTGGAATTGGTTTTTTAATATTATACCTATCGGATTGTAGTTAACTACAGGTTTGTACACATATTCACTGTTACTTCAATCTGACGGCACGCCGTATCGGTTACAGCAGTAGCAGCAAGAGCAAGGCGCACACTATCGGCTGCACCGGCCAAAATTTCAAACATTCATTTTTTTTGGCTTCCAAATATGAAAAAGACGTGGAAGGAACGGCAATTTATACAGCGCATTTCTTTGGTTCAAGGATAGAAAAGGAACAGAAGGGCGTTATTGTCAACCATCTCTTCATAATCGAGCATTATACTAAGGCGTTGTGTCTTAGTTTATGTTACAAAAAATCAAACACAGCAATTCATGCAGCGCATTTCTTTGGTGCTAAGGATAGAAAAGGAATAGAAGGGGTTATTGTCAACCACCTCTTCATAATCAGGGCATTATAGTCAAGCAACAAACACACAACCCGTTGCCTGCCCAACTGGTCAAGTATCAGGCCCTTGATTAAGATTTTAACAATCTCCAAATTGACGCAAATACCCACCTACTCATGGTGCCCATAAGGGGCCATGAGCACTATTCACACTCCTGATTCCCCCTTTTTGTTTGCCTTTTATTGATATATATACTAATCATTATCATTACTATATAAAAATACATGAATCTTGGTATTTTGGAGTGTAAATTTAAGTATTCTTGTAATCTTCGTTTTTTTATTTCAATTATGTCCTTGTTAATTGATGATTGAAATTTCAGTATACTCTTTTTAATTTATTATGATAATTAAAATTCATTATACCATATCTATTGATTTTAAAAAATAATAGTTGATGATAAGACAAATGTTAAGCATTAGAGATTAAGCCGAATTTGGTTTAGTTTCTATTTGTCCAAAATACCATTCTCACTAATAATTATTTAACAATAGGAATAATTGTAGTAGTCAGGGAAAAAGTCTAACCTTAATTAAGTTTGAATTATGAAGACAATAAATAAAATATAACACTTCAAACCAATGTATCTCTTTACACATTCTATTTCAGTTTTTTTTATTTTTATAAATTTTGATTAATCACAGCCTAATTAAAATTTCAAATCGTCAAAAATATTTCTATTGATATCAAAATAAGGTGCTCTTAGGATAATAGAATCTTTGTCATTTATGCTTTACATTAGATTCTGTCCCAAAAATCAAAAAGAAAACAAAAGAAAAAAAAATAGAAGAACTCAATTATCTCTTTCAATGAAATTTCAATTCTCAAAAAACGAACAATTAGATGAAAAAAATTTATATGTGGTAAATCATTTGGCACTCCATTGTTAACAGAAATAACACACAAAATAATATAAAGAGTTCAAATTAAAAAAATATACATTTTTTTTGTTTTTCAAACGACAGTGCATGTAACTTCATATTGAGAAATTTCATTAAGATACTAACAAATTCAATTTAATAGCACGAAAAATAATAATGATGGAGTATGCAACCAATATTTATGCAAACAATTATTTTTATTTTATTTTTTACCCTCCTACCCCTCCTTAACAATTAGCAAACATAACCTTTGGTTTGCATGCAAATTTAGGCCACCCAACTCTAAAAGAAAACAAAAAGTTGTACGTGTATCTAATTAAAAATCAAACAATGTTAGTGACATTATCACAATTTGTTTGTCATGGAAAAAAAAAAAAAGTAATTAGAAGTATCATATTATACATACCATTCATAATATTGATATTTTTGTCAAATCATTTCATATTTGATCAAATCTTTATTTTTTAAAAGTTAATTTTACATCTTCTAATTAATTGTCCTTAAAACTATTATTTTAAATTGAAAGAGGTTATAGGTATCCTCATTTATTAAAAATTCTTTAGAGATTTTATATGAATTTATAGATATAACATTTTGCGAACTTTTTTTTTGCTTTTAAATGATGGTTTTAAGGATAATTAATCAAAGAAGATAAAAAATTAAATAAAAAAGGAAAAAATGCAGATATTAAATTTTTTAAAATAATTTTCACAAACAAATTTAATGTAATGTACTAATACTAATATTTATATATGTAAGAATAATTATATAGAAAATGTAAACAAAATTACTATCATACTTACATATATACAGTGCAGCAATAAAAGAATAGATAATTTTCCAGCCGTGGTAGTGTAAAGTTACTTGAATTTGGAAAAGAAAATCATAAATAAATGCATTTATTTCTATTTATTATATTTGAATTCAAAATTGATTGGCATGGAAATGAAATAAAAAATTATTATTGTAGTTTTTATCAAATTCATGCTACTGTAATAGAGTGTCTCGTCTAAGGAACATATTACCGTATTTGAATTACCTTAATTACCTAGCGTTTGCTCAATACAAATGTGTTTGTCAAAAACATATTCCCAAAAAATTGTCCCTCGCCTCTGACCACCTGTCTCATCGCCTCCCTATAGTCCTCCTTTCCCGACTCCTGACCACAGTTTCTCCCTTACCCCCTCCCACTTTCCAGTTTCCACCCTTTTTTTCACTTTTTGCCCTAACCTAATGTGGCCTGCACACCCTCTTCCGCGAACACAAAGCGGAGGTGAAATGAGGTACTTTTTTGGTGTTCTTTTTTTTTCTGGATATTTTGGAGTATCTTCAGCAAGTTAGTGTAGATGTTTTTTACAATTTATTTGTTTTCCTAAAATACTCCAAAAACACGGATGCTAAACAAAAACCTAGCTTTTTAAAAACATTTTTATTTTAAAAGCCTGAAAAGATTTTGGCTTTACCACTAGTTTAAAACTTCCAGAAGGATTAATAATTAAGATTAAACAATAATGTTTTAAGTTTATCTCCA